ACAATGAATTAAATGACAAACAATAAGAAGTAGCCTATAGATCAATATGAAACTTCTAAAAAATGACTAAAGGAAAAAAAAGGAAAATGGATTCAATTTAAATTTTTTTAAATAATGCTATAAGTTTAAAACATATTTTACATATGTAAATTAACTAATAATTATAAGAATAGGTTTATGTTTTATGTTTACAATTTATGCTAGAATATACCATATTGTGTTATAATGAGAGTTGAAGATATTATTATATTAATATCTATTATATCATTATCATAATATAGTTTATACATATTTTATATTTACAAAATTATGATATTTTTATTACCACATATATTTTAAGTAAAATGTGAACTGAATAATTATAATTGAAATTGATTTATATTGATCGGAATATTTCTTTTCCTCTTTTTATTACTTTTTATATTAAATACATACATTTTGCCTATATACATATAGTCTAAGCTATATTAATTATAGAACATAGTACATGAATATAATATTAATATAAAAAAAATTTATATATTATTTTACAACGTTAATATTATATAATTTTTATATTATTAATACATATGTTTTTGTTTTATCTTAAAAATTTATATATAATAATATACTTGATATTTGAATTTTTTTTACATATATTTTTATTATTTCCATAGCGCTTTGTTTATAATATTAATTATATAAATGTATTAGTCTATTTTTCATTTTAATTAATAATGTAATAAAAATGTATAACGATGTAATATAGAAAAGTAATGGTTTATAATTATTTAATGTGGATATATTTTTTATGTGTATGTTTTTTATTATAGAATGAAATAGCCTTAATTACATTAACTATATATTTTTAAATATTTAAAATAATATTGTGACAAATTTAATTAAGCATTTATCCTTATTCTGTTATATAATATGCAAAATATACTTATTCTAATATTAATTTAAGCACTCTAAAGGAGCATGAAATATATTTTAAATATTGTTACCTTAGAAAATTTTAATTTTATTGTTTCCTATATAACTAGGTGTATAAGCACGATAATATACTAAGTAGTAAGTATTTTAAATAATTTATTGATTAATAATATGGATACCGTATTTTTATATCTTATTATGAATAAGAGGTATACTTTTATATTTATTCACATATATATAACATTATTGTTATTTCCACGTAAATATTAATATGTATAAAGCCTTCTTAGAAAAAAGATCATGTGTTCAAATATAAATCATAATAAATCCGGGAAACACATCTATATAATTAATTACAACGCATATGTCAATTCTATTATATGCAAACAAATTATATACAAATATTTTTTTAAAATTTACTGTACAATATATTTTTTTCATGTAATCATAAAAATATATAAATTTTATTTATTCTTACATATATTATGATAATTACAATTATATGTGAAGAATGCATCTTTTTTTTCTAATGTATTTATATTAAATAACATTAATTATTTATCACAATATAAATACTCTAATTATTAATATACTTGCATTATAGATCCTGTTTCCCTTAGAAATTTTGCTTATATATATTAATATAATCAAATTACTAATTCCTAATTTACTATGTTTCGTGTATCTCATTCATGAAAAAAAAAAAATGAATAGTAATAAATTTTCCTATGTGATATTATAGATAAGAATATAACTGCATGATGTATGAAATTATTGTTATCTACATGAACACTATTCTTATGTTTAAATTAATATTCCATAGGAACATATAATATATAGAATAAATATGTAATCTTATAATCATACTTTAATATTGTTTTTAGAAATAAATAATTAAGTGTACTACTATAAATCGTTATATCTCAGATCATATGATATTAAAAACATAAAAATAACCCTATTATGTAATGCATCAATATTTTATTTGTTACAATATAAAGAAAATATTGCAATTAATTAGTATTCATAAATATTATAT